CTGCACTTTTCGTAAGTGTGCTATTATTTTATAAAAATAACTTAATCAAAAAGTAAATAATTTGGATACTGTTTTACACAGATTTAAGCATCAGCAATCACTGATAATCACTGGCAGGATGAAAAGTCATCATTAATCACTCATCCAAAAATCGTCAGAATTCAGTCACCGATATTCATAGAATAAATTATTTTTTCGCTATGATATCGTTCGAGGATCAAACTCGTGATAACGTTGATTCGCCCGTTTCTCTTTCGCTGTACACAGATCTGAAGTAATGATTTTTACGATGGTATTTTGAAGAGCGATATTTGCGAATCACCAAAGCATAAAAGCAGTATCCTCTCTGTAAAACAAGTGTTTCCCATGTTATATTGAGTTAGATTTTAGAGATTCTACGAATGAGTGTCATCTTCTGAAGAGTCTTTGAAATAAAGAGAAAATGGAGTACCTCACTTCTTCCCTTCCTCTGTCTCCCATCTACTCTACATTTGCTCAGTGCGAACAAATATAATGCTCATTTTATCAGCACTTTATCATATCTTAACAGCACATGCGAGGTAAGTGGCGTGCTCAGAGATCTTATTATGAAAGTAATGTGAATTTCTACTGTGCAACAAACGATAATGGACTGTTATCATGCTTTTGTTTTGCATCAGTTTGGCGGAACTTGATCTGCAACTTGCTTTGCTTCTACAGAACTAATAACTGTCAATGAGATAATATACTTCATATTATTGCTTCTGATGTATGAATCGTTGAAGAAGTCAGTCACGGCCCAAACGATCTTGCTATTAGATTATGTTAATTTATAGTGGCTAATTAAGTAGTAGGAAAATTAGCTAATCTATGTAATAGCAAAGCTGTGTCAACTATAATAAATTAAACTACATCGACAAATTTCTGGCAACTTCTTAGAATGTCTCTGGCAACTTCTTGTGTTTCCCGCATCCAGATATAATTTAACTTGGTAAAAAAGCCGCCATAAAAATTTTACTTTTTAATTTTTTTTAAATGAAAGAAATGCCGGAACAGCGCGTGAGCTATCAGTCAAAGTGAAAAGTTTGATTTTTTAAGATGGAGGAGAAAATTTTGCAGAGAAAGCAGTACTTACCAAATGAATCTCCTGAGAGCTTTTTTTGAGTGTTGATTGTTCTGGACAACTGGGAACACAACACGCTGCAAAATAGGTATGCGGACAGGCGGGTTTACTGGGTTTTGCCCCCAGGAAGGATTGCTCATAGCTGGTGCATGCCATCG